GCTTAATTCCTAATTAATTTCTGCTGGGGTATGGTTTTCTATCTGTTTATATCTGTCCCTCCATACTTGTGTTTCAGGACAAAATCCACATGAAGACAGTTGACCAGACAGTGAGTGCAACGGCTGCAACCAGGTATGTCCAGAGAAACAGCACTGAACACTCCTCTTGGGCAACATCAAATAGCTGTGTCATGGTACCTGCATTATCATTTTATATCAGCTTATTAGAAAATAATTTCTTTTTCAATTAAAATGGAAGATACATGTAAAAGAAAGTAAGGAAATATGGTACCAATATTCATGGCGGGTGGCACTGTGAATTGAAGCATGAGCACGAAATGATAAAGAGGATCTGATGGAAGAAATCCTAAATGTGAAGCTGCTTTTACAACACCAATCCCTGCTATAGGAAGTAGAATGTATCTCACGCATAATACTGCAATTATGGTTACTGGCTTTAATCTTGCCTTTCGAAACCCTGTTGATTATTCAGTTCATAACCCTGTTAATAATTTCAACAATTAATTACTTAAGATTTTGCAGATGTGGTTGTTTTTTTTGTACCTTGTGTTAAATTGCCTCCCAGTATAAGAGTGATGCAAGGAATTGTTCCATCCCTACAAAATAAATGAACCTGCCTTGAGTTAGACCAATATTTTTCTGCTGTTTTTCACAATGTACACTTTGTTTGCAAAGTTTTTGTCTGAAACTAGATGTTACCTACCCAAGTAACTCAACAGTATCCTCGATCACTCGAAGTGGAGCATTTTCACCAATAATGAGGTTTCTGAGCCACGTAACTGCTCCAAATATAAATCCAAAAATCTGAAAATTTTACGATATTAGAATTAGCATAATGTATGAAGGAAATTAAACAGTGAATAATCTGGCTATAAGTATAAAGAAATAACTCACAGCAGCAATGGTTGGAGGAGCTAGTAGCTCTTCCAGAATCTTATGCAAAAATCCTAATATTTGTTTCCATAATTGTGCTTCCTTCTGAGCTTCAATCTACAGATGCAATGATTTGGAGATTTCAGATAATGTTACAGTACAACAAATTACACTGCATATCCAAAAGTCAATAGACTACACAGGAGGGGGGCTTACAGTTGACGGTTCTCTATCATGTTTAGTTGTTCCATTAAGAAGGTGAGTCTTCTCATTTCCCTCTAAATCCTTGTTGGGTTCCTTTGAGGACTCCTCGTCTGCTAGTATTTGCTTATATTTAGCGGCTGAGGTTCTGATTAAGTGGTATGTGTAAGTCCATATGTATAAGCCACCAAGCTGCAGTTGAATTTAGGTGATCACTGATAAGTTATTTGCATTTTAATCTAAGAAAAGAGTGAAGTGAAATGTGATTACTGTGTATTCAAGTGACGTTTAGTCAGAATCTTTCAACAGTCGTAGGATAGAAAACGGGAATGTGACAGAACACTTACTGCCATAGAGAAAGAAACATATGATAGTCCAACTGTAGAGCAAACGGTCTTGTCTCCAAATGGATTCCCATCCTGCTCGCAGATTGCAGGGACAATGATCAACATAATATTTCCCAGGTTTCCTGTTCAAGAGAATTAATGCAAATTAGCTGCTTCCATAAATAAAATAAAAAAGCAAAATTCGACTTCTGAAAAATGGCAGATTCAAGTTTGAAGCTGCACCTGATGAACACATGCTGATAATGAGGCCTTCTAGATGTGGCTTCGGTTTTAACAATTTCACTGCTATCCATCCTAGGATCCCTCCTACTAGAAACGTTATGCCAACGTTAACAATCATAAACCACCTGAAAAAAAAAATGCCAAGAAAGAGGAAATAGAGACCGGATCAAAATGAGTATATTCAAGATTTGCATCATTGTTTATGCAAATAGTGATATGTTTTTCCAAGTATTCACATCAGAGAAAGAGGAAATCTACCATGAAATGATGTCTTCAAGTGTAACTGTCTTTGCAAGATTTGCAAACATGAGTGAAGGAGTGAAGATTATAAACACAATCTGCAATATTTTCAAAAGAAAATTAACATCAGAACAAAATATATGTCAATTCCAGTTTCATTCAACATTCATATTAGCTTACTTTGTTCAAAGACCTTCGAGCATCTGCAGGCAGAAGGTTGAGGTAATCAGAAGCCATAAAAGCCCCTAATGAACTTATTAAGAGCACCTGCAATATTGGCATCGACGCCACCTCAAGTAGTGTCCAGAATCCCATTTTTT